TCAGTATGTTAAAATTTCTACCAATATTTTATAATCAATTGATTAAGATCATTAAAAAAAACTATCATTTTCCAAAAAAAATAAAAAAAACCTTATTATCATTTGTTTATATTGTGATTTATTATATGATTTATTGAAATTTTTTATTGAAAATATTTTCTGGAATACAATTAAGTATTGTCCAATAAAAGCAATCGTGGTTACATATTTTGCATAAAATTACAAAAGATTATCTGAATTTTTTAAATTTCTTAGTATCCTATGATTTTTTTATTTCTAAGTCTAATATAAATTTCTTATAAAATAAAAAACAAATTATACAAATTTTCTTTAAATTTTTTAAAGTTATGTATATAATATATTATGTAATAATCTAAATTTTAATAAAATTATACAAATTTTATTTTTAATTAAAATTTGTCATGGTTATAACAAAATTTTATTTTTATAAATAAAATAAAATTTATTTTTTTGAATTATGTTTACGTATTTTTTAATTGATTTTTTACGCAGGTTATCAATTTTGAAAGAAATCAAGTTTAATTTAGTAAATTTTATTAATTTGTATTAGTTTTAAAAATAACATGTAGGGGGAATATAGGAAAAAATATCGGAGGTTTAGACAGGAACAATATGATATTTTTAAATTTATATTTGCATATTTGGTCTTTTAAAATAATTTCAATTTTTATGATCCTCTCTCATAAATATCCCTCCCTATCGGTGCTTCTCTCTAATTCTCCCTTTTATTTATTTTCTTATTGATTTCATTTTAATTTCAACAATCACACTCCCACCCGCAAAATAAATACTTATTTCAATTAATTTTTGTGTCTTCAATTCCTCGTCAACTAAACTATATTTAACGTCAATTAAACTATCTCAAACGTGGATGTGTGTCATAAAGAGCATTAAAAATGAAGTCACACAAGTCATAATGTTTATGGCCCATAAATAATGTAATTTGCAATGGTTTTCATATTATGCATTATTTTTAGGGAGAAAGACACCAATATATCCCTAAATTTGTAAATTTCAATTCGGATTTTGAAATTGCCTAATCACTGTGAAAATCTAGGGCTGAATTTTGTAGCCAAATTATCTATATGCTCTTAATTTGAGATCTAAAAAACAAAATAAAATGACAAGAATAGTTTAAAAAGTGACAATTGTAATTTATCAAATAACATCGACAACCAAGGCGGTGACAACTAATTTCACGAAGAGAATTGGGTTATTTTACAAAAGCCTAATTCCAAAATATTCATTTAGTCCATTTATAAATCAGTTCCAACATATTTTATAGAAATTAAGAAAAATCTTAAATCTTATTAACTCTTTTTTAAAAATTTAACAGCTTTCAAATTTTATCTTTATATAATATATATTATATTTCGTGAGAACAAAATTTATAGAATAGTAAATAAATTGTAAAATTATACGTTCAAATAAACAACAATGATAGTGACCTATAAATAGGTAAGATTTATTCATCTAAATTAAACCCTTCGTGATGGAGAAATAGTTTCAAACCCAATGTATTAGATTATGCTCAAATTACATTCAGGGAAAACAACATATAAATGACATTTTAATTTGGGAATCCTAAAATGAATACTTGAATAAGGAAAATCTTATTTTCGTCACATGAAACAAAATAGGGATTTCAAAATTAACTAGAATGACCAAACTGTCTTAAGTATCTAAGAAAAAAGATATTGATCCAATATTGCATGTCATTTTATGTTCTACCCCGTCACAAAGAACAAAAAAACTCCATCACAATGTCAATTATTTGACAAAGATATTTCATCAACCCAACACAATTACTTCTCATGTTAAGTTCAATGTAGCATCTCATTACTCCACTGTCTCTATTAACAACAAACTTCACAATATTATTACTATTGAAATTCAACCTTCCCATTTATGTAACCATTGTAGAGCTTCTGCAAATTTTCCTAAATTACAATCTATTATCCCCACAAACAAATAATTCTAAACTCTATCTGACACTAACCCTATCCCAAACTAACCAACTCTATGTTGCCGTATCTAACCATTCTCACAAGTTAAAAATAAAAATCAACACCCCAACATGAAGAACCTTAACTTACCTATTGTCGTACCATCATCTCTCTCTCAACCTAAAAAAACTAAGTTAGCCAAAACCCAAACCTTATCCAAAACTAGCCTACCCGTATGTTTAAATTTCTAATCATTCTCACACCTAAAAAAAAAAAAGAACCAACACCCCTGTATAAACAACGTTCAACTTATGTAACGCAGCACCCCATCTCCTCTAAATCTTCAACTTACTCAGAATCCAAAACTATCAAAATGAAAAAATAGAACACCACAACGATGGTAGGAGGATCAAAAGAGTCATGATTTCAAAAAAATACTTATACTTTTAAACCAGCACCTTCTCCTTACCTTCTAATAAGCTTTACACACATTCTGTCTCCTTTCTTTCCTATTAAAGTAAGTTCTTCTGGTGCTAGTGAATGTGAGTCCCACGTTTTGTAATTGATAAGGGCAATTTCATCATTCCAATTAATTCAAAATTCATATTTAGTCTGAGGCGCTGAAAATGATATTAGCCTTATTTAAATATCCATTTTGGGATTTTGAAGTTAAAGTGTCATTTTTGTATCATTTTTCCTTACATTTACATGTTACATTGTTACTTAGTAAAATGTGTCATTTGAAACCAAAAAAATGAAACGAAGCTATTAGGCATTGCCCGACAACGACATGGATACTTGTATTTTATGGTTTTACTTTTTGACTAATATTTTCTTTTTCTCCTACAAATATTATAATCTTACAATAATTTTTTATTTTTAATTAATTAATGTATTTTATCTTCGTCTGTGTGTTTTTCCAGCTTTTACATGGGGAAGTTCACCAAAAACAAAAAAGCACGAGGAAGTGCACATTTTATTTTATACAAAAGCATGCAACACATTCACCCCTCCTTGCAGAAGTTCGGATTCTCGATAATTTATAGGGGAAGTTATAGAAAAATCCCAATTAAAAGTTTATTAATTAGTCCCTCTTAGCCTATGATATTAATACTACCCCGGTTCTTAATATAAGACCCTATTTAATTTTTATTTTGGTCCTAAATATAAGACCGCAATTCACTTTGTCTCTCATATTTATACATTTTTTTCAAAGTAATGATTCTAACAATGATAGTTCTAGTCAATACACTTGATTAGTAAGGATATTTTAGGAAAGACAACACCTATTTAGGACAAATAACTAACTCAACTTACTTTCTTAATCTCCTCAAATTAGTCAACTAGCTCTTATAATTAGGACCGGAGATAGTATTTTACATGTCATAACGTGACATTTTGCCATAAATATGACCTATTAGTAATTAATTTTTTTAGTTGAGATTTTTTTTTATTTCCTCCAAGTTCTTTTGAAATTGATGTTATGTAATTTCACAAACATGTATTATATTAAGAGCTATAAACTCGATTTAAATGTTTGAAAATGTGAAACTTACCTTTAAAATTGATGAAACTATATTCTTCTTCTTTTCCTTTCTTTTAAATTCTCAATCATTTTCTTTAGGTTCTAAGTATCTAAAATCATTTGGATTAGAAGTCAGGAAAACAAACTCTCTAGATACAAGAAATTTTCTAATAATCCTTTCTTTTTCAACACACACGTATTGCTACGTATATTAATCAATATAGATTGGTTATTTAGACAGTTTACGTGTGCTCTAAATATGTCATTATGTTGTTGATGAGCTTAAGATAGAGAAGAGTGTTTATTAGACAATTCACGTGCACTCTAAATAATAATTTTTCCCACATGTATTTAAAATGGAAATTCTTTATTTTTTAACTGTCATTTTTAAAAAGAAAAATGTTATTTCTATTTATTAATATTGAATATTATCTTATTTTCAATCACTTGTGGGAGTCCAAGACAATGGTAATTACTAAAATATATATTAAGGGCATATAAGAAAATTTTAAAAAATTATGACATATTAATTATTTCTTAATTTATGTGATAAAAACAATTATAGAAGAAACGGAGGAAGAATTAGTTCGGAAAAATCTTTCACTCAATTAATTGATTAGTTCAACTATGTTTTCTGCTACTTTTAATTAATTATGCCTTAATAATAATTATCTAATTGGTCCACAGTTAATTAATTACGCCTTAATAACAAATAATTAATTACTTTTACCTTCTTAAAAAATCAGGCTTCCTGGTACTCGAAAGTCATCCATTATCTATTAATTAATTAGCTTGAACTTTTCTTTAATTTAAATGTTCTGCTCTTGCTTTGGCTTCGGCTCCCTTGTCAAAAGGGTTTTTTTTTTTTTTTTCCTGTTAAAAAAAATTATTGGTTGCTCTATTTGTTGTGCCCTCGCCCCTCACAGTCTTTCCAGAAGCTTGTCACTTAGAAGTACTGACCTATAATGGTTATAGGCATCTTTTTTTAAATGAAGTGTTTTATGAAAATTGTAGGAGCTATTTAGGGTATCTATTCTAGTCTTAGATATTAATTCATTTTATTTCTCAAATTTATAATTTTTTTGCCAAACTCTTTTAACTAATTGTATATGTGAAAAGGGTTTCCAATGATCAAAGAGAATATTTTGAAGAAACGAACTTGCATTTATTGTAATCAATATAATTAACTGGACTAATTTCTTTTAAATTAATTATCTAATTTTTATATTTAAGATTAAAGGAGCATTAATTAATGGATCCTCATACAATTTGCAAGCCCCGTATATTATTAACAATAATAAAATAATTATATATATCTCCTATATTTATAAGGTATAAATATGGTGTTAGCTCTGGTAAAAAAAAAAAAAAGCTGTTAGCATTTTCCGGCAAACAAAAAGTTGGGCCCAAAAATTAGGTGGGAAAACTGTTTCGGCATGGAAAGGGCAAAAAACGATACAATCAATTCAAATTCCACTGTCATCAAGGTGGGGATTAGTCCGCGTGACGAACTAATATTTAAACTCTTATTAGGAGAAATGTCTATATTTATTATCTAACAGTTTCTAATAAAAGAATATCTATACTGTAGTGAAAAAAGTTTTGCTGTCATTAACACCAAATCAAACATTTATTTATTATTTTTTTTAACAAAGCAAAATCTTTATCGATAGAGGAAACAGAATACAACAGTTGGAAAAGCAGTGCAGATCAAAAGTTAAAAACTCGACAGACAGAGCTACCCAATTCCCACACAAATTCAACCTCAATTTTTTTTTGATAAAAAAAAGGAAGAAGAAGCAGCATACGCCTTTATGCAGCCAAAAAAAAAAGGGGAAGGCATAAAAGAAAAAGTCAAACTAAAGTTATATAGCTTTAGTGTGCCTATTTCTATCATCTAATAAGTTGGTTTTAATCTAATCTTAAGCTGCTTAATTACATTAAAATACATACTAATATTATCATAATTGGAATTTTCATGTTTAAAGATAACATTATTTTTAACTTGAAGATAACTCATTTCTTATATCTAGACTCTACAAAGACCATGTTATCTCATGAAGCACTAAATACTAACGTCAAAATCCAGTCATTACATCAGATTTTTCAGGATCCTACTCGTGAAGTTACATTGGAAAGAAAAAGGTGCTCTCAAGTTTCAAAATAATTATTGCAAAAAGCATATATATAATGTTGCGCAACATTCATTCTAGTCATCATATATTTGGTAGACAATCGGCCATGAAAGCAACCAAGCAATAAAATAGTACAATTTATTTTTTTCCGAAAATTAGGAACATAATATTTACGAGTTTTAATATGAAAGTCTGACTTGTAAATATTAATTTCCTTAAAATTTATTAGTATTAAATGAAATTTGGAAGCCTATTAATATTTCTTTTCTTACTTGAAAATTGACCCCATGGGTGATTTTTCCTTTCCCCCCATATAAAGACTAGTTTTTAATTTACAGATAATATGTTTTATGACAAAATTTTTATATAATTTTTAAAATATATTACTTTGAGTATACCACTCACTACTTACAAATAATTCTCCAAGTTTTATATTCTTTTAGTTGTAAATATTAGACTTATTTATAGTGTAACTTACATTACAAAATAAGTCTTACATTTAAGACCAAAATAGTACTATATATGATTAAAAATTAATATACAAGCCTGTATAATTTCATCTCTTTTTCAATAAGCTTTTGTAGTTTCTTTTCTTTTTTAATTGGATTCTTATAATTTTCTCAATTACACGTACTGATCCCTACATTTATAACTTAATTTGTAAGGAAAATGTTGTGAGTAAGATGACTCACACTTTCATTAATTTGGCCTCATATATCCAAAAAAATTAAAGTAAATTATAAATTAAAAATAGATTAAAACTCTATATTTTATTCCTTTATTTTATTTTTAAAAAAATTTATATTTTGAATTTTGAAATGATTTATATGCCATTAATATCTAAGTACCGTGGAATGATTTTTCCATATTATTAATTAATTAAGAAAAAAAGAAAAAGACTGGAGCAAGATTTAAACAGGAAACTTTTTCCACTCAGCAGAAAAACAAGTCCAAAGAGAGAGAAAAGAAAGAAGAAGAACAATAAAATGGTGGGAATAAAAGAAAAGTAATACTCCGTATTTGATTTTGTATTGGGGTTGGTAATTCTGGTAGGCACTTCTGGTTTATATAAGGCCATGCCTCCATTCCACTTTCCATTGTCAAGCCAGATCATCTTCTTCACTCTCTAACGTCTTCCTTCTCTCTCTCTCTCTCCCCCCTCCTCACCAACCCCCGCCACAGACCATTCTCTTTCTTTTGCTTGATCCTACGCTTCGTTTCCATTTCTTCGTCTCTGTTTACGGACAATCTTGACGCCACCCACCATGCCTGCCGCCGCCGCCGACGCTACGACCACCCCATCAGGTTCCGGCCAAACCATCTGCGTCACGGGCGCCGGTGGCTTCATCGCCTCTTGGATCGTCAAGCTTCTCCTCGAGAGAGGATACACTGTTAGAGGCACCGTCAGAAATCCAGGTTTGTATTGATCCCGCCGATTTTTAATGAAATCAAAATTCATGTTGCACGTTATTTATCTTTCTGAGATTGATTTTTGGTTTTTCTCTGATGTGGGTGTTTTTGAAATCTGGTGATCAGATGATTCTAAGAACGCACACTTGAAGGAGTTGGAAGGAGCGCTGGAGAGGCTAACTCTTCATAAGGTTGATCTTCTTGATCTTGAGTCTGTGAAAGCTGTTGTTAATGGCTGTGATGGCGTCATTCACACGGCCTCTCCCGTCACAGACAACCCCGTGAGTCTCTCTCTGCCTCGTCTTTACTCTTTCAATTCATACAAATTTCCTCTCACTCATGGTTTTGCCGTTTGGGAGGCGAGAAAATGGATGGGAAAGACAAGAAAAAGAAGCGTGCATTCAAATATGAAATGATTAATAATTATCAGTAGCAGGAGTACCATTTCATAATTCAATGCCTGGCGGGTCCCGCCATTAAGGTATCCTCTCATGAGGATGGTAATTCTCTTGCATATATTAAGATCCACATTACCAAACCAAAACAAACAAACGATCTGACTCTGAATAAACAGTGGTTGGACCTGCGAAGTTACATGGAAAATGCATTTAATGCGAGAATGAAGGCATAATAACAAAAATAATGAAATGACACAGGAAGAGATGGTGGAGCCGGCAGTGAATGGAACAAAGAATGTGATCATAGCAGCTGCAGAAGCAAAAGTGCGAAGAGTGGTGTTCACGTCATCCATTGGAGCAGTTTACATGGACCCCAGCAGGAGCATTGATGCGGTGGTTGATGAGTCTTGCTGGAGCAATTTGGAATATTGCAAGAACACAAAGGTACTTCCACTTACCCCATTCTCATCTCAATCATAAATGCCCTGATGTTCATATTCTGGAACTAGCGAGGCATCAAAATTGTGTACAACACAAGCCCTTGGATTGGCCTTACTTGTGTTAAGATTAGATTCGAGTGAAGTGGTTAATTTGTGGGAAATTTTGGTGACGCTGATATAACGAGGGATGGGATGGATTTTGCAGAACTGGTACTGCTATGGGAAGGCAGTGGCAGAGCAAGCGGCATGGGATGAGGCAAAAGCAAGAGGGGTGGATTTGGTTGTAGTGAACCCAGTGTTGGTGCTGGGACCATTGCTTCAATCCGCTATAAATGCTAGCACAATTCACATCCTCAAGTATCTCACTGGCTCTGCCAAGACCTATGCAAATGCTACTCAGGCTTATGTTCATGTCAAGGATGTGGCATTAGCCCATATTCTGGTTTATGAGACTCCTTCTGCCTCTGGTCGTTATTTATGTTCTGAGAGTTCCCTCCACCGTGGAGAGCTGGTTGAGATCCTGGCCAAATACTTCCCAGAATACCCAATTCCTACCAAGTAAGTCAATTTTTATTCACTTATGCCGAACATTATCTTCTGTTCATTATTTCTACTAAGAGAAACAGAAGCACTCAGTTTTTGGTCCTAATGACTAGGAATTCTTAAGAATACTTGAACAAATTTTCTCGTTGAAGTGGCAAATGATGATAGGTTGTTGTGTAAGGAGGAAGATGAGGAAATTTGAGTTGATGGTAAATCTAAGTAACATTAAGCCACATTTTTTCATTTCAAAGGAAGTAATTAATCTTCATCTTTAACACTGGAATATTGGGATATCCCATCCGGGGTAGTTGGAAAATGACACAACACTTAATAAATAATAGGCAGCCATCCTCTGGCTTTCATGTCATCCTTATTAGGTGAGAACCAATGTTGAACAATGATAGGCCTACCATGAATGACTTTTCTTTTTGTTTTTTTTTTTTGGGCTTGACTTCTGGAAAAAAAAATATGGAGATGGATATTACGTAGAAAGAGGGGTCCATTTGGTACACCAACTTTGTCTTGATTGTATTTATCTGATCCACAGTTGAATTTCAAACCAAAAGAAGCCTGTGAACCACAATTTAATCTATTTTAGTACCAAAAAATGGGGCCTAGAAGTTCTTACCTAACCCAATGTCCTTGTCAGACCATCTGTTTCCAGTATTTCAAGGGCCTGCGTGGTTCTTCATTATTACTCTAATTTTGACTCTGTTGCGTTGAGGGGGTCAATAATTGGCTTTAGCTTATTTCCTAACAACATTACATCATGCTTATGCTTTCTTCTTGTAAAAAACTTGGTGGGTGGATACATTGTCTGATCATGAACCTTTGTTTTTATGCAAAACTGAGAAGAATGCATTTCACTTTGACACGTTTGAATTTTTAACTATAAATATATGGCACAAGCAGATGTTCAGATGAGAAGAATCCAAGAGCAAAACCCTACACATTTTCTAACAAGAAGCTGAAGGATTTAGGACTAGAGTTTACGCCAGTGGATCAATGTTTATACGACACCGTCAAGAGCCTGCAGGACAAAGGCCATCTTCCTCTTCCCACCAAGCAAGCAGAATCTGTTCAGATTAAATCCTAGACATACAGTTTAATCAGTTATTACTGCCCAAGTAATTAGTTCCCAAGTATTGTTTATTATTATTATCATTAAAGATGAAGAGAAGCAGTTTTTAGTAAGCTGGGTCCACACGAAGCTATTGATGAGAATATTTAAGATTAGAATTGTGAATGTGTTGGATATCTGTATCAGACTTCAGACAATTCCTTCCAACGGTTCTTCTCTGTAAAAGTAGTAAAATCGATCAATATATTTGCTTTTCCTTACTCATTTTAACTTGTCAACGTTTGTTTAGTCTGGTTTCTCTCTTTTTAACTTTGAATTTATCATCTATGTGTTATCTTTTCATCTTCTAATCCATCTTTAATCGATCTAGTTTGCACGTTACCCAATTTAGTTTGCTCTAAATTTCTTGTGGGACTTGAACATGGACTTATCAAAGCTAAGACTTTCATGTTGGGTTAAAATATTTCTCTTGAAGGGATGAGGAACCAATCAGAGATAAACAGAGACTTTTAGAAACGTCAAAATCGATTCAACCATAAATAATATTAATATGAATGATTGGGTCAATGACTATGGCAATAATGATTATCTTTAAAACGGTTGTTAACTTTAGTTTTGAAACTAGTAATACGCTACTCCATCTTGTAATCCTCTTCATCTAAGTTATATTCTGCAGTTAATTTTGTCAAAAACTTAGCTACTACTTAATACTACTCTCGGTTCTTAATATAAAAGTTAGCTAACTAATTTGAATAGATTAAGAAAACTAGTTAAGTTAATTATTTGTAATAAGTAGCTGTTGTCTTTTCAAAAATATTCTTGCTAATCAAATTTTGATCCTCAATATGATACTCTAATTCATTTTGTCTCTCACATTTATTTATTTTTTTCTAAGGTAATCCTTGCAACAATGGTAGTTCTAGCCAATACGTTTAATTAATAAGGATATTTTAAAAAAGACAATAATCATTTATTATAAATAATTAACTTAACAAACTTTCTTAATCTAATCAAATTAGTAAACTAGCTCTTACATTAAGGATAGAAAGTGATATATATAAATAATAAAATGTATAAAAGGAATTATGTACAGCAAAAAAAATTAAACTAAATTTAAAATTTCCGTTTATTAGTCTCTTATCCGGTCAAGAGTTAAGATTTTTAAACATTTTTTATCGGTAAACGGGACATGTAATTTCCACTCGTCTTTGAAATGTAAATAATTATAGGTTGCCATTAGTGTATAACTTTCGTTATGAAGACCTCGAACTTACTGGTTGGCCATGTGAAAAACTCTCTTTCTTTCCCTTTTTTTTTTTTTGTGTTGTCAAAGAAAGTCTCATTCATTTGATAATTGGGACTTATATGTGACAGCTTTGTTAATGCGGTTGAAAGGAAAAATAAAATAAACAAGTTTTTAGCAATTTGGGTCCATGCGAATCTATTGAAAATATTTAAGATGGAATTGTGAACGTGCTTGATATCCATATTAGTCAATTCCTTTGAAATGGTCTTTTTGTGTGTGTAAAACTGGTGAATCAATACATATGAACTCTATATCTATAGGTATGTCAAGTGTGAATAAACTTAATTTGAAAATGGGAGAATTGCTATTAAGTTTAAAAAAAAAAAAAAGAACACAGTTACTCAAAAGTCTAATTGACAACAGTGCATTATGCAATAACAAATAACAAATTGAGAGAATTACAATAAGGTCTCAAAAAAAGAAAAAAAATTACAAAGTAAGTCCTAAAAGTTATTATTCTTTATTGTAAAACTTGTCATTATAGACTACTCAAGTTATTATTGGGACCTTTTAGTAATTATTTCTCTTCTTTAGGATTTGATTATAATTCTTCCTAACAAATTTTAGTGCAGAACATAATAATTGCTTACTTGTTACGGAGACTTATTAATAATTATTTTCTTTTTCTTTTTTACCTCATTTTAATTTTCCCTTTAAAAATGTGAGAAAGTAGGAAAAGTCCCTAAAAAATTAAGCTAAAGAAGAGATATATAAGTGAAGTGACTCTTGAAATTATTACTTTATAGGGTATAACTGATCTCAATAAAAAATATATATATTTGTTTTTCTTACTCATTTTCAAATTTAATTACTCTATTCACTAAAATGACTCTTGAAATGGTCTTTTAAAAAAAAAAAAGGGTAAATCAATATTTGTGGACTCTATAGGAATGCCAAGTGTGAATAAACTTAATTTAAAAATGTAAGAAGGTGGGAAAAGTCCCACATCCAATAAAATTAAGTTGAAGAAGAGAATGACTCGTTAACCCTCTGATGTTATGCACTTTGAATAAAGATGTGGTGTTAGGTCACTTATATGCATCATTCTTGGCATACTCCTTTGGTCACACCAAAATATATATACACAAACACATTACCTTCACTGATTAATATAAGAATTAGTTTAACTTTTAATTTGGTCTTAAATATAAAATCCTAATTTATTTTGTCTCTCATATTTATCCATTTTTTCAAGATAGTCCTTATAGGAGTTGCACATGTTAAAAGTTTTATCAAATGATAGTTCTAACAAATACACATGATTAGTAAAAGTATTTTAAAAAAAACAATGTCTATTTATTACAAGTAACTAATTTAACAAATTTTCTTAATCTACTTACATTAAACAACTTGCTTTTATAATAAGCAGCGGAAATAGTATTTTTTAAAACTTTGGTCGTTGCCTTATGTCATATCCATAAATGCTATAAAGTCCATTGTTCACCACATCCATAAATGCTATAAAGTCCATTGTTCACCGCATCCATAAATGCTATAAAGTCCATTGTTCACAACCAAGTTAGCGCGTAACCCAATCTAGTTTGATGCTGATTTCTTGTGGGACTTAGAACATAGAACATGGACTCATCGAAGTACCGGCATTTTACGTTGTGTTTAAATATTTCTTTAGGCAAACGAACGAAGATAAAGATGAAACCTTAAACGTCAAAATCAATTCATCAACTATAAACAAAATGGTACGAATTTATAATTGAGGTCCATGATTGTCTCAAAACGGCTCTTCAATTATTTGCAAACATCAACTTAGTTTTAAAATAATCAATACCCTTTCTGTGTTTATTATAAAAAATTGATAACTAATTTATAAATATTAAAAAAAATTAATTAAAATAGTTGTTTGTAATAAATGTATTCTTTCCTCTCTTTTTTGCTAATAACTGGAATTCTCTTATTGAAATGAAAGCAATCCTGTTTGAGGCGCTATTTGGTATTAAATATGAACACTTCTTCGGCAGTCATTTAAACCTTTGTTTGCTATGTTATGAAATATTAGCCTTTTCAACTAAATTCAACTCTCATTGGTTAAATGTATCTTTTTATAATCATGTATGTGCATTGTTTGTAATTACTAATCATGTTCTAAATGTATCTTATTTTGGATATTTTGAGAAAAAAATTATAAATTTGAAAGCCAAGGTGATTGAACTTTTATATTTAAAAAAGAGTTAAGGTACATTCAGCACCCTGAAGTATTTTGCTTCGTGCATCCAGCAACCTAAAATATTTTGTAATGCACCCAGTATGCTAAAATATTTTTTTAAACATGCCTAGTACCTTAAAGTATTTTTTCTAGATGCCCCACAAAAATGTTTTTAGGTTGCATCCAGTACCAAGGCCACAAAAAAAAAAACTTTACGGTGCTGGATACCCCTAAAAATACTTCAAGATGCTAGATACATCATAAAATACTTTGGATTATTAAATACATCTAAAAAAATACGTTATGGTACTAAATACACCTTAGACCATCAAAAAATAAAATCTCGTCTAGAACCTAAGGTTGTAATACATTCATACAATGCATTGCATAAGTCATTTTTAATTTGTAATAACTTCTAATTAAATTAGATCATACTCCTCTGGTCCTAAATATAGAACCTAATTGTTGAGTTGATTTTGGTCCTAAATATATATTTTTCATATTTATCAATTTTTCTTAAATTACCTCTATGGATACTCCTTTAATCATAATCAAGTAGAAAAGGAATGAAAAATATTTAAAAATATGATTATGATGTTTTAGGAAAAACATATCACATTTCTTATAATTACTTAACTTACCTAACTTTATTAATGTAATCAAATTAGTTAAATAGGTTTTATATTAAAAACCAGAGGAATAAATAAATTTCATGAAAAATGTGGGGTCATCACACAATCGTTTCATTTTTTTTTTTTTGTCTATTATTTAAAATTTCTCTATACATAGCATGGAATCTTGTGTATTGTATGTCATCCACATCCACACCCAAGAATTAAGATTTTCAAACTTCTTTTATAAGGCATCTCTTTCTTCCCTTTTTTTTTTTTGGCATAATACGTAAATCATTTTCGTCTCAAACTAAATAATGGCAGGCCACGTGACAAACTCACACTCATTTCAAAATAGAAAACGATAGAATTTAACGTGAAAGCTTTTTTTAGTGGGATTGATAGAACTTAAAATATTTGAAAATTTTTCTTAAATAATTTTAGTGGGTTGCTTTCGGTCCAAGTGGCTTCATGCTCACCTCTCTTTTCAGAAATAAAGGGGGCATCTTTTCTTTCACACTGATCTCTATTCCATTTAGGAATGTTCTAAAGCCTCGTTTCATAAGCAATGCTTTCGGTCCAAGTGGCTTCATGCTCACCTCTCTTTGCAGAAATAAAGAGGGCATCTTTTCTTTCACACTGATCTCTATTCCATTTAGGAATGTTCTAAAGCCTCGTTTCATAAGCAATAAGAAAAGAGGATTACTTTCCAACCCAACTCCAACTTATTATATAATATTTATTTTTTATTTTTAAACATGATTAAACGGAGGTAAGTCCTAAAAAAAATGGTGTTGTTACCATATGACCTAAAATTCACAGGGTTCAAATCCTGAAAGCATTCTCTCACTTTGCAAAGGTAAAGCTCATACATCCACCCCTCAAATCTCACTTCATGGGAGCCTTGCGCACCGGACTGCTTTTTTTGTTTGGGAAAAAATAATTAAAAAACATAAAATTGTGTTCTATTTTTTACTGACATTTTGCTGTCACAAATACAATTCTTTAAAGAAGAGACTATAACAAGGGATGAGAGAATGCATTACTTGAAAAAGGAAGATCAAAAAGCTTAGCAAACCAAGTCAAGTGATACATAGCCTTGCTTATCCACGTTTCTACTTTCTAGTAACTAAAAGCACTATAATCTTACCCTAGTGAACTCCCCAAACTAAATCCTACTTCAGAAATCTAT